AGTGCCCTGAGATAACTTCTGTTGTGACTTGGCATTATTAAAAATAAACTGAACTGAATTGAAGTAATAGCTAGCAAGGCCGTCTTCACTAATGCATAAAGTGATAATGAGAATAATGGAAAGGAAAATGTGTAGAATTGTACAGTGAATAATAACGATGAGCCTAGTTATGAGCTTTGCTACAACCATTTCCTTCTTCTGCAGTGGCACAGCCTCTGTTTCTGTAGGGATAAAGAGTTTTAAGCTGCCCACTGGTACGTTTAGCAGCAAGTAGCAAGTGTAAAAGCTGCTGGCTCGCTGCGCCTTATAAGTTTAAATATATCTGCCTGACCAGTGGCAGCTGCCCCAGTGCAAAGCCCCCAAAGCTGACAAGTCCTTTTTCCGCAGTGCCGACCTGCATGTGGGCAAGTTTTGCTGAGGCCAACCTAAACATGGGTAGAGGCATAAGTGTGAATGCCCACATGTGCTGGTGCCAATCAGGGCCCACGTGGTTTTCTTACCCCATTGAGGTAACCCCCTCATTTCAAGCTCACACCCCACAGCTGCATGGCAGCAAACCAATAAAAATCAAAAGGCAAAGGTTAAAAGCACTGGTTTTTGAATGGCGTCAAGATCCTTTGTTAACTTTTTTGTTGAGAGTGTGAACAAGAGACATGAGGATAATGCAACGAAAACTTAGTGGGGGTTGCAATGAGTACATAGCAACAATTCTCAGATAAAACAGGTTAGACCAGTCTGCTAGAATAAAGCAAAGCAAAGACTGGCCTGCATTCACAAGTGCATCTACTGAGCAGAGGTCACTTTAGAGGACTTAACCAAGTAAGCAAATACACTCACAGCATGTGTGTAAAATTGTGTAGGATTTTCTGGTAGTCAAATTCTGCTGCCTAAATGTGGAATGGCCTACAGCCAGGGAGAACCAAAAGTTATTTTAGCCAGCGACACATCAATGTTTAGGGATAAACTTTCCACCCTGAGTGTGTTGTGAACTGCAGTTTGTTTATGTGTGCGTTTGCCTCCTGTTTCATTAAGCGCCCATGTGGACATTGTCAGGTATGTCAGCTGCTCATGTCAGGCTGCGAGCAGCGGGATGGACCCCGGCAGAGCTGGAACCTGGGAACTTTGATCTAAGACGGTGCTGAAAGCTGCCAAAAGGTGGAAAGATTCCCCATCGGTCATCTGCCTTCAGGAATGGGACACTGACGCAGCTGAACACAATCCCCTATCTGCACTAACACACTCTTATGTGAGCATTTATCAACAAAAACAAAGCCAGTGTTTGACACTGAACCTGTTACACAACTACTTACAGTACACATAATTTATATGCTAATTTATATCTATGTTCTGCGCAAAGCAGATGGCAAACGACTTCTGTCAGCATGACTTTTGTCATCAAACTTGGGTGTAATGTTGTGTCAGACAACAAGCAACCTGTTTAAACCGTGAGTCGTTGCCTCCCTCCCACGCAGAGCATGGCTTTTGATATCAGCGAACATCTTCTTTTAAAAGACACTTTATACTTCAAAGCATGTATAGTCAGACTGGGCGGGGGGTAGGGGGAGTGTATATGTGTATGTGTGTGTGTCTTTGAGTTCAATAGAATATCTACAAAGTGAGGGATTAGTGAGCGTTACCAGAAAATTCCTGAGGCAAGACCAGGCCCATCCCACTTCCCATCACACCTGGAATAATACTCCTACTTTCCCCCAGAATTGGCCAACTTCCTCAACAGTCCAGTCGACTGTGATGCTAGTACACAGCCAGGAATACCAGGGTTTAGTCTGGATTCCCCTACACCAGTTCTAAGAAAAGTCACTCTGGCACTGAATGATGCCAGCCTGGCTGAGAATAACACACTCGTGTTCCCTGCACACAACATATCATGACTAGATTCAGCGTAAGATCACTCTTTAAATATAGCCTGGAATGACTGAGACACTGAGGAAGAGTTGGCATCCTCAAGTTCAGTGGTGAGCTGGATGGATGATGAAACAAGTGACCGCTCACCTTGACTCAGGCTGAAGCAGCTGCCCTAAAAACCTAAGAGGTGAGGTGGAGGGTGTGGGGCAGACTGGGTAAGGGGTAATCAATTTAGCTTCTATCACTTGCACATTTGCACAACAAAACAACCTAGATAGATGATTGTTTTGCTGATAAGAGCTTAAAGATACTCTTTTTGAAATAACAAAAAATAATAAATAAATAAAAATCACAAGTTCCTGGAGCCATTTTACAGATATGACAACTAAAGAAATCGCATTTCCTGCAGAAATGCAGTGTGAATGCTTTTTGCAGAAGAACTTGCTGAAAAACAGCTAAAATTTGAAAAAAAAAAAAAACATGCTGAAATGTAGCTGAAATAGAAGACTAAGCCTACTTTAGCAGAAAAGAGTAGAAATAACACATATTTGCTGAATAAGCAGAAATGTGCGCAAAAATTAAGTAGTTAGCTAAAAAAGCTGAAATTAAGAGGAAAAAGTGGCTGAAAAGTAGAAAGAAGCTTAAACTACCAGAAGGAAGTGGAACGAGCTAAAATGAGGCCCAAAAAATTTGAATTAGTGGAAAATGCTGAAATTTGTATAAAAACAGCTAAATAATAGCTGAAATAGCAGAAAAAGCTGATACTAGCAGAAAAAAGCTGAAATGAGCATAACAAGCTAAAATTACCATAAAGAAGTTATTTATAGACAATAAAGTATACCGGTACTGTCGGTACCTCTATCTATAGGGGTGCACCGATTGCAGTTTTCTGGCCGATCACCGATTTCTAAAAAGCCTGACCTGCCGATTCAGATTTTGGCCAATACCTCTTTTGTTTTATAAGCGACACTGTCGGGTGTTATTAGGTCACAATGCACCTTCAATATTTAATCTTATTTTATTGAAAAATATACCCTTGAACAATATCATAGAAACAATACAAACGTGTTTTAACTGGCCATGAGGTAGTGCTCTGAAATATAAAGTAAGTTTAGACAGTTGTTGTTAAAATAAAAAAAAAAAATGGTAAAATCAGTTTCTCATGTAAGTATCGGCCAATCTCCGATTTCCCAAAATTAAGGAAATCAGGGCTGATAAATCAGCTGCCCGATTTATCAGTGCACCTAGTTATTTAGGTTGAAAGTAGCAAAAATTACCAAGGAAAACTTGAATTTATCTGCAAACAGCTGAAATTAGCTAAAAATGCTAAAATGTAGCTGAAAATGTAAAACAAGCTTACTGTAAATTAGCAGAAGAAAGCAGAAAGAACATGTTTGCCCTATTAGGCTGAAAGAAGCAGAAATGAGCACAAAACAGAGGAAGTTATCTGGAAAAAGCAGCTGAAATTAGCATTAAAAAACAGCTGAAAAGTAGCTAAAATATCAGAAAGTAGCTTAAATTACCAGAAGTAGAGAGAGCACATTTTTGCTGAATTAGGCTGAAAATGTTGAAAAGAGTGCAAAAAATTTGGGATTAGCTGAAAAAGTTAAAATTAGCATAAAAACAGCTAAATGGAAGCTGAAATAGCAGATAAAGCTCAAACTTGCAGAAATAAGCTGAAAGGAGCACAACAAGCTGAAATTAGCAGAAGTTAAAAGAAGCACAAATGTTAGCAGAAAGAATCAGACAGGAGCACAAAACAGCTGAAAGAACAGCTGAAATTAGCTGAAAAATGTTTAAATATGCACAAGGAAGCTGAAAGGAGCTGAACCAGAACAAAATGTGAAAGGAGCAGTAAAAGGTTGTGAACAGGAGGTAAAATGAGCTCAATTCATTTTCTATTAGACAAAAAGTGGCAGAAAAGGCTAAATATTTCAAAAAGCTAAAGCTGCATCGATACTAAAAGTCATAGCAGGATAGTCCTGAAAGAGCCGAATGTTTTGAGATAAAGTTGTTGAAACAGTTTAACAGCGGGCCGAGAAGCATGCTAAAAACTAACAGAAGAAAAATGGATCACTATAGTGTGAATGCTTCATAAACATTCACACTATTAATGATTTCGGATTTTAGCACTAAATTCTTTTTTTTTGCAGTAAAGATAAATAAAAATGTGGCTAAGCCTCATTTATTACTGATTTGTTTCCACTAATTTGTACTGTCTGCAGCAAGAAACCACAAGCTGTAAGATGAACGAATTCCAGCAATCTGCAGGAACCCACCGATCTGTGCTGAAACCCTACCAAGTCAAACAAGTCATTCGAATGGACTCCGAGCTGAAAAGACATCCAAACCAACACTTTCCTCTGCCTCACGTCTCCGAGTCCAACCAAGCAGATGCTGCTGGTAAGAGCTCTGCTTCACCAACAGCACCTCAAAATGTGAAGATTTAGAGAAATTTAAGAAGGAAGGATGAAAAAGCAGCCACTAAAAAGCCAAGAACAACATAATCATGGTGGTTCTTTCTACATCAGCAAGTTTAACTTCACACTTTAAGTCGAGGGAGTAAAATCGATTTGGGGCTTTTACGCTGTCTCTTAAGAAACAAGAAAAATTATTTATATTCAAATGTGTCAAAATCTAGTTTTGAGCTTCAGGTGAGTGTGAAGCTGAAATCTCTCCCACACGTCGCTGAACTGTGGGAAGACAACTATGCCTCATGAGGGTTGCTGTGGGAGGAGAGGAGATGATGACGCAGCCTATCTCATCACTTTAAAATGAATATAAATGACTGAAAGCCTGCACTCCAGCCAAGTAAGAAGGTTTCTGTGTTTGCATAAAGCTGAAAACTCAGAGGAGCTAAAGCACTGAGCCCGCATGCTCCATCTCTCTGTGGGACCCACTGCTCATAAAAAGGAATGTGATGACATGACCGAAGAGGTCAGGGTCCATTCCTGCACTGAAGAAGCACCAGATGAGGAAAAGATTTTGAGGTCTGGGCTGTTATTAACACTGCATTATCAACTCAGCATACTGTTTAGTGCTACATATTGTCATCATTGTATGTTATTTTTCAAAAACGCCTCCAAAAAGTTTAGAAATATACAAGATAGAAATGTAAAAGACTGACTTATACTTACCATTTGGATTCCAGTTGAAAATATACTGGTAGGCTTCACGTTCTGTTTCTGCTGCTCGATCTCCGTCTCCAGCTGGGCAGCACGAACTTTGTGCTTGGCGAGTAAGATGGTGGCAGGAAGCTGAGACTGCTCCTGAAGGAACATGTGGGGTTTAGGATTTTATGAGAATTCACAGAATGTCAAGAGAGAGCGTCATTAAGAACGTTTTGCTCAGAGAGCATGGCGGCAGCCCTAACCAATCATTCATCGCTGTTAACTAGATAACCATCAGCAAATGGTGCTTTCAAGTTGGCGGTCACTGTCCTGAAGCTATATTAAAGCTGTAGCACTGCAGGGGATGCCATTTAAAAATCTCCTCCACCCCCACGCAAGGTCAGGTGTTTTGGTTTCTTCGGTGGAGTGTTGCCAAGCACGAATGTTTTAAGAACACAAGCTTGGAAAAAGTGAGGAGGTAGGACAGGCGACCTTCAACAGGATGGAAAATGTATGAATGAATGTTGAGTGTGCAAATGGCCACAGGGACATGGAGATGTCAGAGCTCAAGAGAGTTCTCCTCAGAGGGAAGAAAGAGCTGATCTCATCTGCCAACAAACAGGCCCCGTGCCTTAAGCAAATAAACACACGGCTTAACCTGCTATCTGTGATGGTCCTTCAGCAGACCGCTTCGCAGGAACAATCACTTCCAAAGCTCTCGGCTCAAAACAATGGTGCCAAACAGCTTTAGAATCATAGAATGAGAACAATGCAAACCCACAGCACAATGACCCAAATAAGCTCTTATTGATCTCCCAGACGGAAACCCATAAGGTGACTGTATGTGTTGAAGTATGTGCATCAGACGGAGTATCTGTCATGACGTCCTCTTTGCATCAACAGACGAGTCATTCTATATAAATATGGACGTGTTGTTTTTTTTTTCTCCTCACCAGTTCATCCAGCAGAGCCTGTTTGTTCTTCCTCTTGACCTGCAGCTGCCTCTGCTCCTCCTGCAGCACCTCCAGCCTCCGCTGCTCGTTGCTCTGCTGTTCCAGGAGAAGCAGCTCCTCCAGCTCCTCCTGCTCTCGTGTCTGAGAATGAGAAAGAAAATAAAATAACGATCATGTAAAGCATCCATAAAGCCTCTGCTGATGCCACATGACCCTGCAGTTTGGCCTGTTTTAGAGGAGGAAGCAAGCTTTAACACACCATGAGTTTATTTTGGAGCTTAATTATGAATAAACTTAATAGTACATACAAGCTTGGCCTTATTTTTCTGGATGATGTCTTTGTTTTCTTTCTGGTATTGCTCCATCCTCAGCTTGGTGTTTTCCACATCAATGTTGTTTGTGAGGTTATACACTGCAGGAAAACATCGAAAAACATAAAAAGTTTTACTCATAAGAGTTGTCATTATGGCATGCTGTTTTATTTTTTATTCAAACATTTGTAAAACTGTAATTATGACATTTTTTACATTATTAAAGGGTATAACCTTGACAATTATAATATCTAACAAATAGTCATCTTTTTTAAGTCCCCCAAACTGGATCGGAAAGGCTGTTTGGCGTTGATTATGGAGTGTTAAGGTCATTTGACTGTGTGCTAAATTAATTAATTTTTTTAATCATGTGCCTTTAAACTTGTGGTTAAAAAATGTTTCTTAGCCCATAATAATTTTCTGAAATGACAGCGTTCTCCAGAATGAGCTGCAACACAGTTCCACAGTGCCAAACTGTAAAAAATAACAGCTTTAAATGTTGAGTCATCCCTCGTTTCTTTATGCTTTCCTTCTAGAGAGCCAGAAATTCTTGACAATTTTTTAAAGTAGCCTTGATCAACAGTTCTTAAAACTTACTGAAGGTCTTTCAGTTTTTTTTTTTTATTTTTGCTGCTTTCTTTAATCATTTTCTGTCGAATAACATTTCAGAGAGAAGTTTTTGATTGATTGTTTGTTAAGTACGACGGAGCTTTAGGGTCACGCTAAGAAAAAAAATTATAAATTACAAAATTACATTGCCACTATAAGAAAAATTTTTTTTTAAAGCCATACAATTACTAGAATAAAGCCCCACAAGTCGGATCCACGGCGCAACCAGTCAATCAATCCAGTAGGCGTCGGCAAATGAGCAATCTGAAGCTAAATGCTCCTTACCTGTAGAGAGCTGTGCTGCAGCCCATCGGAGCGTACCAACTTATACCCCTTTTCCATAAGTAACAGTACAGCACGGTTTGACTTGACTCGGCACGGTTCCAAAGCTTTTCCTCTAGTAACGGTTCGTAGAACCGGTCTCTTTTTTAAGAACCCTTTTCTCTGGGGTTCCAAGCGGGCTAACTGTAAACAGGTTCAACGTCCTGATACTGATAATAATCTGATGCTGATGTGCTGACAGATTAACTATCTCCTTATCTGATAAAACCAATACCAAAGTATAACTTAACAAGATGCTCAACATTCTTCATTTGACCACAGTTAAAATGTGGTAAACCCTGTTCTATCGTGTCGGAGTTCGGATAATATTACAACTCATTTAGCTTCGGATTGGTCATTTGCTGACACGCCTACTGGATTGATTGACAGGTCGCGTCATGGATCCGACTCGTGGAAAAAAATAAATAAACGAGAGTTGGAAAAAAAAAAAAGTCTTGTACGATTTTATTCTCGTAATATTAAGACTTTATTCTCATAATTTTATGGCTGTTAAAAACATTTTTAGCGTGCCCTAAAGCTCCGTCACAATTAAGCCCCTACCTTTGACCAATGAATCATTCAGGCAAAATAAGACTCCTAAACCAAAAGGATGAACCAGTGTTGAGTCGGTACATGACAGAACAGTTTTCAATAGAATCTTTAGGTACTTTATAAGCAGCTTGTCACAAAGACACAATTAGTTTCCTTTTTTTGTTGTTGTTTTAGTTTAATCAATAAAAATGCCAAAGTACACACAATCTGTCAGATATAAAAATGTATTTTTTTTTTTTGCACAAACCAGTTGATTCCCAAAGAGCAATCAGTAGAAAACATGGCATACAGTTGATAATCACTGAAAGATTGTGCACTTCCCACTGTCCACACAATATCTAGCTCCTTAGCTCCATCCATGCTAAAAGTCTTTTGAGGGCTTTGAGTCAAGACGTCACTGCAAAATGTTTCCTAACTCAACATCTTGAATGGCAATAAGGCCTTTGAAATAGACAAAAGTCAAGGAGGAAATGCAATACTTGTTTCAAAACAAAGCAATTCAAGCTTATCGCCTACCAATGTCCTCGACCTGCTCCAGATAATCGTTATATTCTCTCAGGCTGGAGAAGTCAAATTCTCTCTTGTTGTAACTGCAAAGAAACAAGAACACCGATGATAGAAATAGTAAAAACTTGATGAGAACAAATATGCATCTGTTGGCTCAGTCATTTTATAAATCCCTCTCTGCAAACGGCCTAAAACACACACATCAGATATCAATTAAGGGGCTATTAAAAAAGCAGATAGGATGGAGGGAAAGAGGGCAGGGAGGGGCTGCGAAGTAAAAATCTGGCAGGGAAAGAGCCTTCCCATTTGAGCCCCCCCTGGGGAGACTCATTGTCTACAAAACAAACAGTGTAATGAGAAAGACAAAGGCAGCTTAAGAAGAGGGAGGAGGCATGGTGTGACATAAACACACAGAACCCCACCCACCGCCCTCGTGGTCACCCCCTCACTCACATTTTCATCACCTTCTTGCGGATCTCCACCTCTTTGTCGATGGTTGGGTCTTCGAAGAGCTGCACGCGAAAGTTGCTCTTCCTGAGCGGTGTGTCACACTGAACGCAGCTGCCTGAGCCGCGCGCAAACAGCATCTCCACGCAGTTCTCGCATCTGTGCACGAAAACAAAACTGACATTCACAACGAAGCACCTTAAGAGTCTGCTTCACGTGTACGTGTGAAGCCAGGTGTAGCTGCTGAGACGCAATTTCCCACAAAGTAAAGCCAATTGCTGTGTATTTCTCTGTTTCTGAGACATCAACAGGCACTCTGAGCAATAATGGTGCGTAAGAATATTTCCTCTGAGTGCTCGAAGATGGCTGGGATTACAATCAGAAGGTCAATTAGCCTGCTTCACACTCTTAGACTAGAGGAAATTAGTCCAACAGCCCCCCTTCAATGGTTTCTCTGCTTGCAGAGGAAAAACATTTGCTTTCTTGTTATTCCATCAAACCTCAACCATTCTAACATGTAGTGCAATGCTTTGTAATTCATAGTTCGCTCTGTCACTTCAAGAATGGACTATATGTTGCATAATTTAGGAGTGAGAAACAAAAAAATGCAGCGGTTTGTGTGCGCTATTAATTAAACACACACAAAAAAGACCATTTCCCCCAATTAAATAAAGAAATACATTAAGCGGACGTGCTAATTTGGAAATTGATTACCGCCTTCTATCGAACAGCAAAAGCTGATGACAATGCGTTTTTGTTTGTTTGTTTAAATGTATTTGTAAATGAAACTCACAATAACTAATCACTGGTTGATCATCTACACCCGATTGACTTTTGGAGTCACTCCCATTCAAGATGGCTGCCACATGCAACTGATGTTAAAACCCAAAAATAATTGCTATAACTCGGTCAATTTAACAGATTCCATTCTAAAACCTGGTGTGGTGGAGGCTAAGACTGATCTGTATCAGTGCTAACACATAACACAAGATTTGTGTTTAAAATTTTACCATTTACTATCTGGAGTCAACCCTGTCAGTCTGTTAATAAAATATCTCTTTTACCATTTGATTGATTTAAATTAAACTTTCAGAAAATAATTATTAAATGGACAGCAACAACTAAGTAACTTGTTGAGTTTATGCTTCCATTAGGTAAAGTTATTAAACAGCATGGGATAATAGTTATATATGTCCATGAAACCCAATGAATCCAATCAGCTACTCAGATTACAAACATGTATTAAAGACATAAAAACCTGGATGACCCTAAATATTCTGATTTTAAACTCAGACAAGACAGCGGTTGTGGTTTTAGGACCCGAGCATCTTAGGAATAAACAATGCAACCTTTCATTTCCTATAGATGGCATTAATTTGGCGACCAGCTGTAATGTAAAAAATCTTGGTGTTATTTTTGATCGGGATGTCTTTTAACCCCCATATTAAAAACGTTATTAGAAATGCCTTCTTCCACCTGCATAATATCACTAAAATTAGAAACATCTAGTCTAAAAATGATGCAGAAAAACTGGTCCAGGCATTTGTCATATCTAGGCTGGACTATTACAAAAGTTATTTAAAACGTCTTTAGTTAATCCAAAATACTGCTGTCAGAGTTTTAATGAGAGTTGGTAGTAGAGATCATATCTCTCCAGTTTTAGCTTCTCTCCACTGACTCCCTGTCAAATCCAGAATTGAATTCAAAATCTTACCTCTAACATACAAAGCTCTCATCATCCTAGCTCCATCTTATATTACTGATGTTATTGTTCCATACTTTCCTAACAAAGCACTTCACTCTCAGACTGCAGGTTTACTTGTGGTTCCTAGAGTTTCCAAAAGTAGAATGGGAGACAGATCTTTCAGTTATCAGGCTCCTCTCTTGTTGAACCAACTCCCAGTTTCTGTCCATGAGGCTGACACCATGTCTACTTTAAGATTAGACTTTAGTCTTTTCTTTTTGATAAATCCAATATTTAGGGTCAGCTTGGGTTTTCTGAGCAATCCCTTAGTTATGATACTATAGGCTTAGACTGCTGGAGGACAAAGTGACCACATTTCCTCACTTTGCTGCTATTTATACTTGCTCTATTCTACCTGTTTGTATATTTGTAATTATTTATATCCTTAACATGTGGGGTGGTTTTTTTTGTCTTTTCTCCTATAGAAGGTACACCTGGACCTGTCATTCTATGTTTGTCTGTTTCTACTTCCTGTCTTCTCAACGCCCAGCTGGTCGAAGCAGATGGCCGCTCATCCTAAACCTGGTTCTGCTGGAGGTTTCTTCCTGTTTAAAGGGAGTTTTTTCTTTCCACTGTTGCTTTGTGCTTGCTCAGGATGTGAGACTGCAAAGAAGAGAAAATTCAACAAAACCTGCTGGCTTCCTTAGATGGATAACTTTTACTAATTGGCTTTTATTATGTATGTAAATGTTTTTGTACAGTGCCTTGAGATGGCTTCTGTTGTGACTTGACGCTGTATAAATAAACTGAATTGAATTGAGCCAATCCAAATCAAATTGGCCTCCGCATCTAATTGAAACAGAGTCAATTTTGCATATTTTAAGACCAAATTTTATGTGACAGTAGCTGAGAGTCACTCGTGTGACATCTACATTGCATAAGATTGCATATAATGTTTCAATTTTCACCAAAACAGATGCAATTCTGTCATTGGCCGACACAAAATTATTTTATTCTAAAACTCAGGAGAAGTGCAATATTTATTATTTTATTAAACTTTATTTAACCAGGCAAATCCCACTGAGATCACAGATCTCAATTGTAAGGGAGGCCTAGGCCTGAAGGCAGTCTGACTTGCATGTTTTTGGACTGTGGGAGGAAATCGGAGTACTCGAAGAAAAACAACGCAAACATGAAGAGAACATGCAAACTCCACACAGAAATACCCCAGGTCCAACCTGGGGATTGAACACAGGACTCTCTTACTTTGAAGCAACAGTGCTAACCACTAAGCCGTTGTGCTGCCAACATGATATGCATTCCTTCAAAAAAAAAAAAAAAAATGCTAAGACTCAAATTTGTTTTTATTAAAGCAAAAGACTCATTACGTAGAGCTGAAGCCCTAATTACTGGGGAAATTAGGACATTATTGATCAAAATATTTAGGGATGCATGGTATTGGATTTTGGGCCGACATCCGATATATCGATATGTTAAAACGTATTTGGCCGATAACCCATACTGATATTTTATATACTTTCCTCTGTCAGACCATATTCTTCTTATTTAGGCTTATCTGCTACACAATTTGTGTAAGAGCTGTAAGAGCTGGTGACATATATTCAGTAACAGTCATATGATATGCATAGCACTTTTAACTTATATTAAATGAAAAGTGTTAAATGTTATTTATTAGTATTAGTCACTTGCGATGCTGTCTCACGTATGGAGGCTTGTTCCAGGTTCCTAGCTGCAGTGTGGGATCCTCTGCTCTCTTGTGCATGAAGGAAAGACTTTTTAAGATCAAGTTTTTGTCTATCCATTGTGCCGTAAGACTAATCATGCTAACGGGGCTAACACGACGCCCAAATGTCTGCGATAAAACTCACCCAAGTGCTATCAGCTATTAGCTTCTCAATGATGCCGGAGATGACGGGTTGTAACTCTGGTAAGGCTACGTCGGAAAAATATCTCGGAATGAGGACAATGTAGCGAGGCTCAATGTAGTCCAAAAATCTTCAGAATCCAATATCCTCAACGGAAAAACAAAACTTCCACACCTTCGAAATTTTTGACTTCTTCCTCTCCGCCATGCAGGTAGGTACACGTGACGTCATCACGTTGTACTGGTGCTGCAGTCATCCTTGTCACAGGGTTGCCATACAAAAACAGCGTCTTTTATATCGGTGAGTTATTTTAATGGAATAGCCGATGTACAATATTTAACTTTAACGCTAAAATCGGCCGATACCATGCCGATAATATTGTGCATCCCTAAAAATATTTGTTCTAACCCTGTTTCATAAATTTCTTACACAGTAAATAAAGCAGGGCAGCTCTTTACGTTTTCATATGACAGTTTAATCTCTAATTCAGTGCAATTTAAAACAATTTGGGGGGATTACATCAGGTCAAACCCAGATTTAAACCAGAAGATTTGCTTCCATCACAACAAACTCCATGGCAACCTGTCAATGTTCCTACCTGAGGCCACAGTCCTCAGTCTAACCATAAATCACACCTTTATGCAGGTAGTCGCACTCATCAGTCACACTCCAGTGAAGAGTGGACTCCACAGACAATGGGGAATGTCCCTTTGTCTCCCCTGATGGAGAGGAGAGCCTGGATAAACGTTTATGCAGTGTACTCTTTTAATTAAGTCTCTTTGGAGCGTTATTTCCACAGGAATCCACCTTCCAACTCATGATCACCCTCACAAAAAATGGACATCTGGTTTTCTAATGGCGCTATGAGGTTTTGAGCATGGACACTATTCATAATAAAACAGAGCAAAGCTGTTGGGGAAAAGGCAGATTTATCAGTAAACGGCGCTGATGGCAAGGCTGACTCACATCGTTCCAGAAGTGACTCAAAAATCAAAAGTTTTCCAGAAACAGAACAAGTCAGACTGTAAATCCTTTCACATCATCAGCAAGACACTAAAAAAAAATCAGCTAAAGAAGAAAACTGCAGAGACATGGGATTTGTGTGTTTATACTTAACGTTTCAAATAAGGGTCAAACAAGCCCAACCTGCCATTTCTGACGCTAAGCGTTTGCACTTATACAACAATGGCATCAAGCACTATCGTATGTCAGCTTAGCTTGGCTGTAATGAAGCAGCAATATTGAAAATGAAAGCTGAATGACAGAAACATTTGTGCTGTCCAGTTGGTGCCTCGAGTGTGAAGAGCGCCTGCTCAAGTGCACCCTGGAAGAGGCAGATGTTCGCTGTGGCCTCAGGCTACCAGAGCTCTATAGGCCTTGCCATATGGAGGTAGATGGAGGGATTCGGCTTGTTTCCACAGGCCCACAAAGAGTCCATTCATCAGCACGGGGCAAGGAGTGGGGCGTAGCTTGCCCTCTGCCCCATAAATAGACCACACAGCCAAACTCTCCAAAGGGCAAATCCTGTGTAACTCTAGAGCCAAGAGGTGACCATTTAAAATGGAGGGAGGAGACGTTAAGGGTCAAATTTTTTCATGTTTTTTTTATCTTTTGAAATGTAGCAGCCTTTAGTTTGAGTGCTTGTAGGGTTTGTAATCAAAGAGGGGCACATCAGCTTCTTGCCAAGGCGAAGCCGATTTACTTTGCATACAGACAGGACGTTTAGACCACTAACAGCTTGCAATCTGTGTCCCAAGGCTGTTGTTGCTGACTGAGTGCTTCTGACTCCTCCCTTTCTCACCTGTCCCACGCAGAGCTTCAGGCTTCTATCTCTCCATCTGCAGCTGTCAGCAGGTCAGGGGAGGGGGTGCTAAAAGGAAGGTAAACAGGGTCCTGGCTCAGCAAAGAGACTCCACCACCAACATAACACACCTTAGGGACACAGCCTGCATCTTTGCCTTGTCCCTTGCAAGAAAGTGCAAGAAGACAACAGGACTGTGGACAAGAAGGTGATCCAGCTAATGGCCTAAAACTGAGTCCTGATAGACTTTTATGAATGAAAAACCTTAAAGGAAACGATATTGCCCACCACCGTTCATACCAACCATCTTTATAATGTGAGTTATTGGAGCTACAGCTGTTTTAGTTCAGTCTTGTAAATGACGTAATGAGCAGTATTATGCAGTATTGCCATGTGATAGTACTCAGCCTATGCACTGAGGATGACTCTTAGCTAATACCATACCAAATTTTACCTCAGTCAGTATTATATTCATTTTTGTGTTGACAAAGGGCAGTTAGCTGTGGTGGCCATCTTCCAAATGTGAAAAAGTTGTAGGTGTACAGTCAATGACTACTTTCTGGAACGGCTGTGGCTGAGTGGTTAGAGCAGTCATCCTCCAATGCGAGAGTTGGGGGCTCGAACCCACCAGCAGTTACATGCCGAAGTGTTCCTGGGCAAGACACTGAACCCCTCGTTGCCTCCGATGTGTCCCATCGGTGTATGAATGTGATAAAGCACTGATTATTCTCTTTAGAATGATTTGTTCAATTAGCTTTGTAGAGATCTAGTAGAGTCTGTATGAATGAGTAAATTAGGGCACAGATTATAGTGTAAAGCGCTTTGAGTGTCTTCATAAGATAGAAAGGCGCTATATAAGTACAGTCCATTTACTTTCTGTGTTTCATTAAAATCAGTTCAGTGGTTCACAAGATAATTTGCTAACTCAAAAGATAAACTAACACGCACACACCTTTATCAACAGGTGATAAAAATCTAAACCTACAATGATGCTCAGTGCTGCCCTGAGACCTACAATATCTGCAGCATCACAAATGCTTCACAAAAACCTACTATGCTTGTCGCCTGAGCTACGGTTGCTTGGACTGAAAGTGACCTACATCAAACACCAAAGGACACGTTTTTGGTGTCACCCTGCAAAGGTAATAAATAACATCCATTAATTGCCCTCGGTGACAGTGATCCAAAAAAAGTGCTGTTGTAGATAGACGTTTGGTAAAGCAACACACCACCAACAGATCATCAGCTCAGACTATTATAGACACTCAACTGAAAGAAGGAAGCAAGTGGCGTACAGTTGTTTAAATGACTGAAATAGTGCAGAACGTTTAGTTATTTTTAACTTTGAACACAAAACAATAAAGCTAGAAAGGTTTTCCAAACTCAAATTGCAGTTTAAAAATAAAACGCACACCTTACATATATTCTCAAAAGAAAAGCAACCTGATGACAATGAAACTAATTGATGACAGTGATTAATTTACATTTCGCCTGATCAATGATATTAGGAAAATTACATTTTTGTGATTTTTTGCTGATTATACTGCCACCAGATCAAAAACGATAAGAAGAGCCAACTAAACAATACTGCGCAGTTTAATTCAGATTCACGATTTTCACACGTTCTAAGGATCCGGTGCAATAATAACAATGGTGTGTTTTGGTATTTTTAAAGTAATTTTTTTGTTTTTAGATTTTCCCCTTTAATTTATTTATCATTCTTGATTGTATCAAACATAAAATCAATACCTGTGGCATTAAAGCATAATCTCAAATTGCAGCATAGACTTAAATTATTAAATAAAAGAAGATGCAAAGAAAAAAAACACATTATGAGTTAAAGAGAACAGCAGTTTCCATGCGCTGCATAAATTTACTGTTGCGCTGAACAAATCCAAGGTGACCTGAGCAAGGACGTCACTCCAAATTGCTTCACTGCAGAATCAGTTTAATTTTCTGTGTGTGTGTCCAGGCGGAGGCAGTGAGGTATGAGCTTGCTGACCTGATGACAAAGCACGACCACTTCCTCGTGGTTCGGTCAATAAACGGACACTGTTACAAAAAGTCAAGCTCATCGGGCCACCACTGTCACTGGAGGACAAGAGTTTATCTATTTATTTTCAGGTTTTTGAAGAGCTGACATTAATAAATTTTGGAAAAATGCACAACAAACAAGTTTTACCAAGACGTGACATCCACAACATTCTGTAGTAAAGCGATTATAACATTAGTGGTAATTGTGACAGAAATGGAGTTTCACAAAAGCTTCATGTTTATTCCCATTTAGGTTGTGACATCAAGCCAAATCATGAACGCCATTAGACTAACAGTAAAAAATGCTATGATTCGGTCAAGCTAAGTAAGGATGTTTAATCATATTTAATTGTTTAAATGTTTAATAATCTAACAATCAGAAAGTCGTGACCTCCAAAGCAAGATGATCCAGTGCAGTGCAGGACACTTCCAATGATGTTAAATCGCTCCACTAGTTTCAGAAACTTATAGAACCAGAGCATTGAAACTGTTGTGTCAGCAGTTTATGGCATCAAAACAACATATTAAACCAGTTCATCTTGACTTTTTCTTTCATTAGTCACACATGTGTACATAAAAAAAACAGTATGTTGTGATTGTGTCACTAAACACTTGAGGCGTTATCACAAGAGGCTCTGGGGGTAACGGGTTTCAACGTGTCAGTTTGATTTACAAGCTGAAATCATCTGGCATGTGATCAGTTAGAACAAGGTTTATGACAGAGATGATAACTCAAATTGGCACCAAGAGGTACTTAGTCAAATTTTACCATGAATGAACATAAAGTAAAAATTTGAGTCTATTTGAACTTTTAAGAAAGTTAGTTTATGATTTGCAAATAATTTGCAGATATAAAACATTACAAACAGCTTGCACTAGATGTTGACCAATATGTTTTCTATGGCTGATACCAATCTTTAGAAATCAGAGCAGACAGAGATGGCTCAAAGTTTTGTATTTTTGATCCAAATTTAGTTTTCATTTACCAAAATATTATAATAATTGTTTAACATAACTTCAAATATATTTAACAACCATAGGGAAACATGTTCACTTTAAAATAATAAATAAAAAATATATATTTATTAAAAAATAAATACATTGTGGACTTGAAGGTAGCTGGTTCTACTCCACAATAGTTTTAATTTTCTTAGTTTTCCTGCAGATTGCACATGTTTTAAAGTGTCCAGCATTGCCAATTAAAATTAGTCATCTGAATAATCCATCTCTACTTGTCAATATAAGTTTTGAAATAAAATCTGACTGCTGCACCCTGTTTTTAAACCTTGATGGATTTGAACAGGGGCAGCACGGTGGCACAGCTGGTACAGCTGCTGTCAGTGAGCAGGTTGCCCTGGTTCAAATCCCAGTCCAGGGGCCTTTCTGGGTGGAGTTCTCTCTGTGCATGCGTGGATTTTCTCCCAGTACTCTGGTTTCCTCCCACAGACCAAAAACATGCATGTTAGGCTGATTAGTAACTCTAAATTGTCCCTAGGTGTGAGTGAGAGAATGGTTGTTTGTCTCCATGTGTCCCTGTGATGAACTGAAGACATGTCCAGGGTGTCCCCCACCTCTCGCACAGTGATGGCTGGACATGGGCACCAGTGACCCCCACGACTCGTAAAGGAAGAAGCAGGTAAAAGATAATGGATGGATTTGAACAGAAGCACAAATAATTAATTCAAAGTTTAAAATGGTCTTGCCTGGTCTTCTTAACATTTATGCACAAGTAAAGGGAACGTTCCTCAACCAGAAATATTATTTACAAGATTAAATTAACCAAAGATTACTGAGCTTTACAGTGGCTGACCAGAGATGACCACACACTACAGACAAAAATCTCTGCTTAAGGACCTCATGTTTTGTTGTTTTTGTTCCAAGTTAGTATTGCTTTAGTCTTATTTAAATGTTCATATTTAATATGTGTGTGCTGCAGTTGTTTTATTAAATGTGCTACAATTTAATAACAGACAGCTGTGGATGTCATTAGGTACCATTTGGACTGCATTATAAGCTCTGTTGTCCTGTTGTAACATTTCTTTCTTTCTGTAAGGGCTATTTAGTACCAGCCTTTTGAAGTAGAAAAACATAGATACCGCAGTAAAAATGCTTTACATTAGTGATTTTTTTCATAAAATCACACTTCAGTGCTGCTTTTAAGTTGTCTAGTGGCTTGTCTTGTGGTTTGAATCCGAAACAGTGTAATTTAGCAGCGTTTTTCTTCATGTTTAGCCAAATAAATAAAAACACTCACAGCGTGTGTCCGCAGACATTCACCATCAGCTTCAGCGACGGGTTCCTGTATTTGGTCGTTTTGCACCTCGGACACCCCTGGTCGTCCATTTCTCCTTCTAGCACACAAAACAGCAGAAAACTGTCAACAACCAAGTCTCCTCCGTCACTTGTAAAGCTGGGAGATGTTGAGTCACACTGAAACCGGTCCGATGGGAAACAGCTATGAATAGAATTGGTTCCTATTGTGAGATCGGTTCTGCGACTCTACAAAGGTCCGGGTAGTTCATTTTTTATTCAGACCTTTTATGTAAAGAGAATGTACATAAAATAAACATTTTAGATTATATATATTATGTGTTTTTATATGTATACGTTATGAACTGAACTTGGCTTAAAATAAAACCCAATTAAAACCAAAAACTGTCCAGACTGGAACTGTTTCCCAAAGCAAGGTGTGTATGTTTTTGGAGGAAAATAGTTATTGTAATTTTGAATACTGCATTTCTCATCATGTTTAGGATTGCACAAATTATACAAAAAGTAATATAAGTGTGAGTATTGATCGAATCATTTTTCTATTTTTCTTTTGTCTCAGATGTTTGTTAAATAAAAAAAAGTGATATCCCAAAGCTGTGAATATTAATGTAAAATTTTACATTTAGAGTTGATCTTTTTAAAAACTTTATAACTTGTCACAATTTTCTCAGGCCTGTGTGTTTCCCAACTGTTGCTAAATGCACTTTTTGTAAAAAAAAAAAAAAAAAAAAAAGACTCAATAGCCAAATTAGATTAAATTAATTTGATCATTAAAATTTACAATCGTGTCTTGAAACGAGCTGTCACAAACAGAAGATGGAAAAAGGTTGCAAAGGACAAAACGTTTGATTCTGAGTTAAAAGTTATGGGACGAAGCCTGTTAATAAAATAAAATAAGGCTTTGCAATCATCCAAACTAATTGTGATGATATTAACATACAGATTTTTGCATTTACACAATTATTTGTTATGGTCAGGTCGAGAAATTGGATTTTTGAGCTCATAAAAATAATCACATAAATATCTAAAGAAAGTCTGTCATTCAGAAAGTTGAATAAATAAAAATTATATTCTGCATTTCAGACAGAAACAATAAGTCCTGGATTCCCATAAAAAAACATCTTTTGTGCATACCTATGCAACTAATAGAATCGATGAGATTTTTTTTTTCTTTCCCACGTTCCCAAAAGCACTCACCTTGCACAGGTGAGCCACGGGAATAAAGCCCGTATACTGGAAGTTACATGAGTGACGGATGGAAACCAAACATTCGTGTATGAATCCAGTTCGCTCCTCCCTTATGGGCCCCTCGGCGGCCAATGGCGTGGCTCTCCTGCAGATAGACCCCAGCGTGTCTCCCTCCAGCTCCAGTCCCCGCAGACTAAAAGTCACGTTGGGAGGAAAAGGGGAGAGAGAGATATCTGCTTACAGCTGCTGTCAGATATCCGATCGCCTTCGCATGGCGAGGAGGTAACCTGATCGAGCTGGGAGGAGTGACTCTACCAGGGAAGGCTTGAGCAAAAAGAAAAAAAAATGTCTTCTTCTTCTGCCGGAGAGGTCACAACAGCAAATGACATCAAGAGGGAAAATGTGAAGGAGGTGGATAGGCGGGAGTGCATCAAGCTTGTGGAGCTGGACGCGGCGGAGTTGTCCATGGAGCGCGCGACTCCAGGCGCTGACGCGGTGCGCACGGAGCTGCTGGTGAGCGCCGCTTCCTCCCTGGCTTTCTCCCCGGAGCAAGTGGCGTGCGTGTGCGAGGCGCTGCAGCAGGGAGGCAACGTGGACCGGCTGGCGAGGTTCCTGTGGTCCCTGCCCCAGAGCGACCTGCTCCGCGGCAACGAGAGCATCCTGAAAGCGCAAGCGCTCGTCGCGTTCCACCAGGCTCGGTACCAGGAGCTGTACAGTATTTTGGAGAACCACAACTTCAATCCGACCAACCACACCTTTCTGCAAGATCTGTGGTACAAGGCCCGGTACACCGAGGCGGAGAAGGCGCGGGGGAGACCCCTGGGCGCGGTGGATAAGTATCGGATCCGGAGAAAGTACCCTCTCCCCAGGACTATCTGGGACGGCGAGGAGACTGTTTATTGTTTCAAGGAGAGGTCGCGGAACGCGCTGAAGGATCTCTATAATCAGAATAGGTACCCGTCTCCTGCAGAGAAGCGAAATCTCGCCAAGATAACAGGACTCTCCTTGACCCAGGTCAGCAACTGGTTCAAAAACAGGAGGCAGAGGGACAGAAACCCGTCGGAAGCACAATCCAAAAGGTGAGGGCAACAACAGGAACACGCTGCGCACTCTCTCTCCCATGATCTTTTATTTTACACAAAAACAAAAAAAAAAAACCGCGTAAAAGACGCAAACTCTTACACTTAAAAGTTAAACTTCTTTTTGTGTAAAAATAAATAATTTAAATAAAACCACTCAGGCCTTTTGATAATTTCTAACAGGTGTTTTAGAATAAGAGTGGCCAAATACTAGTTATGAAACCAAAAAAAAAAAAAAGGCTTAGGACCACGTTTTTACTGTTTTGAAATATGAAGCTGTTGCCGTTCAGATCCGGTTTCAAGCGAAGCGGAGCAAAGAGTCATGGAAACCATTAAGGCCACAAAATAACCCAATGCCCTACAAAGCTCCAGAAATCTGATTTCCAGCCAGAAGAAGGTGATGAAAGAGCTCCAGGGCCGACTTAAAAGGCTTCTTTACACTATATCTGTGCATGAACGCACATGTTCGCGCGCGCTTTCCACAGATCAGAGCATAAATCATAATCACCTTTATTTTCTTCTTCTCTCGGACCAAAGAGGATCTCAGAGTTTCCATCAGCTCCGCTGCTTTATGTCATGATCCACAACACAAACAGACTGAGATGTGAAGGTTGTTCTTTCATGTTTCCCTCTGTGTGAACAAAAATGACGCACACCTGGTGGAGGTGACCCCTCTGTCTCCTCAAACACACACACACATACACACGCACGTCAATATAATCTTTGTATAGCCACAAAAAAAATATTATTTAACTTTTGAAAATGCTACTTTGCTTAAATCAGTGGTGCTTTTTCTATGAAAGAGGAGTGAATGGTTTGTGTGTGTAATCGGTCTTTTAAAAAATATATAATAATAATAATAATAAAATACAGCTGCTATAGGATCATGCCATCTCAAAAACATTTGGTTTGACATTTAAAGCAGATATTCACCCTCTGGGCCATTTGTTCTGCTGACAGCAGAATTTATTGCTCCAAATGGTCACAGGGTTGTTGATGTTGATTGGTTGCTGTCTGAGCACTTCTTTATGAGGCAGGAGTGCAACACACAAACAGCCTGCTCTTCAAAGCCTCTGCAACAAACGTGTCTATCTGCTCTAGGCAAGATGTAAAAATAAAGGAAATAAGTGCAAAGCATTTTCAGTTTTTCCATCATTTGAGCTAAAGCATTGTTTTGTGACAAACTATCTGTTGTTCTTCTGCCGATCTGTCAGTGAATCTGATGGCAATCACAGCACAGAGGATGAGTCCAGTAAAGGCCAGGAGGAGCTGTCCCCTCGTCCTCTCTCCAATTCTTCAGACGGAGTTATAACACATGGGAGCCTCCCTATTCACGCAGGACCTCTGGACGGAGGGGTCGTCATCCAACAGATTGGGGACATCAAGATGTCCACTGGCTCCAGCAGTGGCGGCCTCTACAATGGAAGCCTGGTTAGCAGTAACACTTCCTCCACTGTGTTTCACAACGGTGGCTCGTCCTACCTCCACTCACCTGGAAACATCCTCTTCAACGGGCTCAATTTGGGCATCCAGCCGTTGGCGTTCAACCCACTGAGGTCGCCTGGTGGGGTGCTGCTGGGGGGCTCTGGAGCAGACTTGCAGATGCAGACTGGACAGGAGAAAGGACTGGGCAGTGCTGAGGAGTCCACCCTGCAGTACTCCTCGTACTCCAGCTGTGTGAACGGGGCGGAGGTGAAGCTGGAGGGTATTCACTCCATGGCCGCCCAAAACGGAGGCTCCTCTGTTCTCACGTTCAGCTCACCCTCAGGTGCTCTGCAGGTGGGTGGCTACAGCCTGGTCCACGTACCAGGTGGGGTCTCTGACAACGATGGCAACTCATTACTCAGCAGTGATGCAGGCCTTCCTCCCCTGCAGCTCTCCTCTGCCTCACCTTCCTCAGCAATCACACAACAAGGTGGGTTCAGCAAGTACAGTGCAACACAGAGTTAAACACAATGACGCAAATAAATATATTTTATAATGATTGCATTTTTATTAAATGTAAAACGTGGAACATATTTCATTATTAAGATGATAGATGACTTATGTTGTCAACTCCTTTAATTGGTGACATGTTCATGCAGCTTGCTCTGACAAAGAACTCTCTTGTTGCACTTACTAAAAATTAAACTTAAAGTCTCAGTTTAATAAACACGATGAGGATTGCAGCTACTTTACAGTTAAATTCTCATATTATATTGTCAACGTTGCCCTTTAGCCTCTTTAAATCTAACGGTTGTCCATCACTGGTGGTTTGTCAACAAGACTCTTCTGCTCCCATTCATAACATCTCAGCTGCTTCATGAGCTTATCCACATTTGGACCATAGCCTGAGAGGGTAATGCTACACATACCGTAACACACAGAAGAAGAAATCAGGAAGGGCCTCATGCATGTGTATATTTATAGACGTCTTTTCTGAAGGTCATAGATGAATAAAGCAAGTTATGAAGTCTCCATCACTCCTCATCGTTGATCGCAAAAGCAGATGGCGTTTAAAAAAAACGCAACAACGTGGAAAAATGCTGATATTTGTTTGACATAAAGCAGAGAAATAAAAAGCAGAAAACAACACGGAGCAGCAACTTTGAGGCCAAAGATTGCCATAAAAAAACACACAGTAAGAATGGGATCTGCTCCAAACTACAGCGAGACATAATAATTGATCTGTTGTGTCTCGCCAGGTAACATGTCTCTGAGTAATGTGGCGGTGAGCTCCTCCAGCGACGACTCATTCCAGCAACAAGACAAGCTGACCATGACGTCTCTGCACCACAGTACAGTTCTTTACAGCATGAACAACGCTGGACAGGCGCCCATCAAGAAGGAGCCTCTGGAGGGAGGGGTTTACGCCTCGTACCACCCCGGGCTCCACATGGATCCCAGCGGTCAGATCAGCTACGCCGATCCAAACGGCGAGGAGATCTCCTCCACCTCCACCAGCGAGGTGACCGCTGTCAGCTCGTCCAGCCCCGTGCCGGAGGTCTACACCACCCTAACCAACAGCACGCCCCTGATGGCTCAAACAGACCCAAACGCCAACCACCTACAGCCTACAGAGTACCTCGCGACCCACGAGGTGCCACGAGGGGCCCCCTCCTCCCACCTGATGGGGCCCAGCTTGAACAGCAACTACATGAACCTTTCAGAGACCAAGGTGGACGGCTCGAGGTCGGGGGTCATGAATGAGATGGTGCAGGCGATGTGCGGAGAGATGGAGGCTGTGGAGGGGAAGGAGCTAGCCAAACTACAGACAGTACAGATGGATGAGGACATGTCTGACCTCTAGCCTCAAACCTCACCCCTCACAGAAGCACTCACAGTGATACAGTGAATCGTTTTACTCTTTTGGTGTGTGTGTGTGTGCGCGTGCGTGTGAGTGTGTGCTCTTTAGCCAATAATTTCCTTTAAATTATTTGCTTTTATTTGCCTTTAAAGATGCACTCTTGTCAGAGGTGAGCCCTGTGGGTGGGCCCGATCAGTTTAGCAAGAAACTGACAAAAGCCTGCGATGTGATTTTTATTATTTTTGTTCTAAGACAAAACATTTCAAGTGTCAGAAGCGAACACAAGCAGTTTCTTTATGCGTTTGAGCCTCATTTAAATGAGCATTTTTATAGCCAGCACCTGCTACTTCCTGTTGAGAGGATTTGATCTGCAGAAGCAGGTGCTGGAATGCCTCGAGTCACGTGGCCGGGATGTTCCTCCAAACTAAATGCCTCATCCGGGTCAAACCAAAAAGGTCATCCTGGAGGGGGAAGGAGGGAGAGGAGCCTCTATGAAAGTTGTCAGTTAAACAGCTTTGCTGAAGGATTGCAGAAGAATGGTAAATACAAACAAAAACTTGCTGATTTAAGAAAAACAGTGTCCTTCAGTATAAGCACTTTAAACTCCCCAACACTTCTCGAGTCACTGCAAAAATGCTGCTTTTTGTGCTTTTTATCCCATAAAACAAATCAGGAGCCTTAAATGTGTGTGGGGGGTATAAGTGAAGAAGAATGTGCCTTTCTGCTACTAAAAACACCCATCGGTCTGTTTTGCACTACCATGATGACATTACAACGTTTCAGGCAACCTCTATGTTGAAAAGGTTTGTCATGTGTGACACACCCCAAACAACGCACACTGTGGCAGCAACGGCTCCTGTTTCAAGTCTCATCATCGAGCCGAGAGGCCGAGACATAAATGGTGATCGCATATCCACTGGAAGTTTATAATGCTGCGACAGATGGTCCATAGGTGGCATGATGATGCTTCATGTTGAGCTCCAAATATTTTTCTATAAAACCGAGTTAAAAAATAAACCCGCACTGTGTTTTGGTGTCAGAAGGCCATAAAAGGGCACGTTTAATACAAAGAGATGCTCATTATTTCTCTTTACATGGCATCCTGTTTTGGATATGAGTGCCTTTTTACAGTTAATGTGTTGTCAACCGTAAAAATGGTCTGAAAACAGCCTCAGAGGTTTAGCTCTGTTGTCTGCGGTGGCCCTAAAAATGAACAACATTTGAAAAAAACAGAATTACATTTGAAAAAAACGCAGCAACATTTGAAAAGATTTTTTATTACGTTTGAAAAAACTGAATTACATTAAACCAAACCAGAAGTGGTGTGTGTTTGCACATTGTTCTGTTGTTCTGTTTTATGTTGTTAATAAAGTAAAAAAAAATACAAATAGACACACACAAACCCTCTCACCACTTCGGCTTAATATAAATCTGTTTTTTCAAATGTGATTCTGGCCACTTCCACTTTGGCCACTTCCGCTTTGGCTTAATGTAATTCCATTTTTTCAAATGTTGTGTTTTTTCAAATGGAATTCTGTTTTTTTCAAATGTTGTTCATTTACACCTTAGGGCCACCGTAGTACGGTTGTCTCTGCTGGAACATTTGTTCAATGTCACACAAAAGAATCCGAAGCCCATTTGTCAAACCAGTCTGGCGCTTTTTCACAACAGGAGCCCAGTTCTCTTAACGTCATACGTGACCATAAAAGCACATTTACACATCCACCAGTGAATCACATGTCAGGTTTTAGATGACAGGATCTTTCAGTGAAAGGTTCCTCAGTGCTTTAATGTCATAAACCAAAATCTCTGAGCTAAAAGTTTGTTTTGTTTGTTTGTTGTTTTTTTAGTTTGAATTGTATGTTTGTTATCTGAAATTATGTGAATGTATTTTTCTAAATCTATGTACTGCAATAAAAGTTTATATTTATAAAAACAAAAAAAAAATAGACGGTTTGGATTCTTTGTTGCAATTTTAGCTTTAAAGAGGAAACAGGAATGTGATTTTTTTTTAAAATATATATTCCTGTCATGAATGGGAGTTTATGTCAGACAAAAAGCACATGTTCTTCCAAGATTTAAAAGTCCCCATGTTGCCAGATTGTTAGGATGGTGGAGTGGGGTGGGGGCATAGAGGGGGCTGTAATCCAGCGAGCCTGCCGCAGCTTTCAGCAGACCTGCAGTGATCGTTTGCACATGTCCGGCAACCTGGAGTTCATTAGGCCTCCTTTTCTCATCCCAGCCCCTGTAATTCAAATAAACAGCAATGAGATTTCCAGAAGTAAAGCTCCTTTTGGGTGGGGGGTCTGAAAGCTTGCCACAGTTCAGGCCAATCCAAAGGTTTTTTTTTTTTCCCCCTAAAATGCATACCCACCCCCCCCCCCCCCCCCACCTCCACCCCACGCCTCCACCTCAACATTTGGACAAACGAATTTGAGCGTCTGTCACTCACTCAGTCCAGAAAAGAGCCACGGTCCCTCTCACAGTTTCAGGGAATTCTCTGTAAATTTGTGGATTTCCACCAAACCAGTGCAGAAGTATGATGGGAATTTAACTGAAAGGCCGTGTTCCCAGCAGCTCCATACGTGATCCAGCCGGTGACCCAAGCAGACAAAGGGCTGTTAGTCTGTGCTCACTGCTGAGGCACAGGGAAGGAGAAAAACGCAGGGAACTAAAGGAAGGGAGAGGCAGGCGACCAGGATAAAGTTACCTGTGCGCAGGTGACCTCGTCGCCATGGGCAGTGGATTAGCTGATTGTTAGGTATCAGGTGACTCCTCCTGTAATATTGAAGAGGGTGAAAAGAGCTTTGTTGGAGCCCAGAACAATATCCCATTTGCAGCAAGAGCCCATGGTTTTTGGATCTCACGGGGAGGGGTGCACGGAGGAAACTGCAAGTTCCACTATGGCGTCCATGAATTAGATTATTTAAAAAACAACACATTTATTCAACCCAGTTTAAAAAAAACAAACCGTTTTTGTCCGTTTTCTCTGGGTGTTAAAACCAGAGCATCCAGTGGATCATTTTGTCCACAATCTAAAACACCCTTGTTGTAAAAGAGAGGGAACTCCCCCAGAACTCTGTCCTTATTAAAAACACTGACCTCTGATCTTTCAGATGGTTTCAAAGCTGACATTTAATGCGGCACAGCAGACTGCAAGCCACATGTAACATGACCTGGAGAGCAAGGTACTCCACCACTCTACGTCCCACTAATGAGAGGGCAAGGGTTGACGCCGGCTACAGGCCCACCACTCCTGACCAAGCTGGTCCTGGCAGAAACAGTTTGTTTGAGTTGTGAAAAGTTGGTAGTAGAGTTGATATTAACTACGTCCTCATGGACGCTGTTGTTTTTTTACCTTCTTTAGCTGTTGCTCAGCAGAGCAGGGGGGAAATATGCGCGTCTGCTGCTGCCCATCACTCAAAGAGGGAGATGTAATGATTCACAGATTTGTCCTGGATGATAAAACATAACTCACGAGGACAGTTTTAGGTGTTTGAGTCTGACACAGAGGCAGCAGCTGTGAGGCAGCATCACAGCAGTGGTCAGAGGTATTTCACAACACACACACACACACACACACACACACACTGCTGCACAACTATAACACAAACACCTCATCCCAGGAGTTACATTCTGACTTGTATGACAACATTGTCATAGCGCCCCCTCCCTGCCAAGAAGGCACACATGGCAGCTGCTGGTTTAAATCCTTCCTGTGTCTGTCTGGTTTGTTTATTTAGCCCAGCCAGAAAAAAGAGGCTCTTTAAAACAAATGTCTTCATCTGTACACCCCGGGTGTGTTTACCGAAAGCAGGGAACTGTAAAAGCCGAGGTCCTAATTGCATATTTGTGGAGGTTGTCCTCTGAGGAAATGATTTTGATGGTTGTGTGTGTGTGTGTGTGTGTGTGTGTGTGTGTGTGTGTGTAGTGGTGGTGGGCTATAACCCTGGCGCACTTGTACCAGGTCTAATTTTCCAACATGACAGGAAACTCTGTTAAGCTGATAATTGCAGCTCCAATTTCATTTAACTCACTCATGTCAACAGTTGTGTTTTGTTTTAAGAGGACTTGTCTCTTTCTTTTTTTTTCGGTCTCTCCTCACCACCAAATAAAACTCCTAATCAGAGACATGTTTAAAATTCAGCAGAAATTCAAGATTATTTGTTTGTCCCATAATGTCATAAAGACTCATTCAAAATAATCAATATGCACCATTTTGTTCTGGTATTGATGTGAGCTTAATTAGAAATTTATGACCAACATGTGTGTTTGTTTATACGGAAACAGATTAAAAATGAGTCTGCAGCCATTTGTTCATACTTTGTTGACATTGAGTGCGTACCTGCATTTTATCAACAAATGTGTAAATCTATATACTGGAGTAAACAAACTGCTTCTTTCAATAAATGTTTTATGTTTGATTTTATAGTTTGTAATACATTTAAATAAGTAAAATACATCCTGAACCACTTTTATATGTGCAAAAGTTGAAAAATAATTAGAAAATAACGAGGCAAAGATTTTATTATAGTTATTCATTTATGGCTAAATCAGTCAAATAAAGAAAAAAATGATTGAAGCTGCGTTGTCTTTAAAGCTCTTTACATTCTTTTGAGAGAATAAATTATTAAAAATGGCTTTTCGGATGTGTTTGATGGCGTATGTTAATTTAATTAAACTATATATTTTGTTTAGTGTTGCTTTTTGACGTGCTCCAAACCCCAGGAGAATAAATCTAAATCTCTTCTTGTAGATTAAAACAAATGAAGCAGTTTTGTTCTAGTAAAAAACAGCTGAAATACCACTTTGGACTCAAATGGAGTGAAAACCATCTGTTCACTGAGCCGTTTCAGTTTCCCTCATATTAAAAGAAAGGAGCAAAGCCTCCAGCAGGAGAGACTTTTAAATGATGACATTTTTATGAAGTGTTTTCATCGGTTTCAGTTGAGTTTTCTCTGTTTTTCCCTCTGCTGTAAGAATGCACACGTTTCAAGACAAAAACGATCTCCTCAGATCCAGAATAAATAAGTGGTTGACTTTACTATAAATAAATAAAAAAGTTATGCGATTTATTTTAATCTTCAAGTTAAAAAAAAGAATATTTTCTGCTTGTAAGTCCCATTTTTTCCCCCGTCACGATGAGGAATGATCATCTACCCAAGAACTGGAGGGTTCTGAAGGAGCCCAGTGGCCGAGGCAGAGGAGGAGGTGGAGGAGGAGGAGGAGGAGGAGGAGAGCCACATCTTGAAATAATCTCGCCCCCCGGGCTGCTCGGGTTAAAGGAGGAGGCGCGGCGCAATGTGGTAGAGATATTAGAGAAACCCGAGAGGCGCTCATCAGACAGCTCATTTACTGAAGCACTGAGGTTTTACACAGACCCGGCCTGTGGGTCCACTTCAGTCCACTCAGTGCCCTGCACACACACACACACACACACACACAACTCTCATTAAGTATTCAAATAAAGGAAATCAAACCAATCATCATGGCAACTTTTATCATTTAGTTTTTCCTGCAGGCTATAATTCTGTTTATTAAACAAGATAAATAGAAAAAAACCCATTTAATTAAATCAAGCATATAAAATGTTATGGCGATTTATATTAAAAGGCAAAAAGAGTTTACGTCTGTATATGCAATTCAGAAATGCGGGTCTGCACCCAATGTAAACAAAGCTGAACCTGAAGAAACTTTGTTTTACTTCATGATTTTTCATGTCTCGTTCCTTGTTTTTTTTTTAAATGACAGGAGTTTTAAGGTTTACAGCAAAAAAAACAAACAAAACCAAAAAAAAAACAAGTGAATTAATTTATAGCTTCAACAAGTTTGTAAATACATGTTTGTTATTTATTATTATTGACGTCGCAAATATAGAGATGGAGCAGACACACAAAAAAATCAAGTGGAACATTTGCTCACATGTTTGTCCCCATTTTTTTTACAGGATTAATTATGAAAAAAGATTTTTTATTTTCCAGCAAAACAACAAAAAAGTGGGAATTGTTTCGACTTAATTACAGTTAACCAAAAATAAATAAATAAAAAAGAGTTTTTCACAGCAGAACCTTGTTCCATGTCAGAAACTGAGAGAGAGTCCAGTTTCAGACTTTGGTGCCGATAAAGAAATCTGATCCAGAAGCTCAAACCAACAACTGCACCACCAAGAACCGGTGTCGCTCAGAACTCATTTACTAATGGACTGGTTTAGTGTTTCAGCCCACAGAAAAACACTGGAGCCAGTGTGGTGCCCGTCTAATCTCTGAAATATAAATGTGGACAACAGGCGAAGGACCTCTTCACCAACACGTGAGAGGCTCAGTGCTCATTTATTATTTTAATTTCAGACCAGTCCAGATTTATAAATTGTGAATTTTCACTTTAATTCATAAAAGTTTTGAAAGTTAAATATCTTACCTGTCTCTGACTCACTGGGTCATAACTCATTTTGCAGAGAGGCGCATAATGGACCCGAACCTTTTAAATGACCTCACCTTAAAATTAAACAACTCCAGTAATTAAAAATCAGAAATACAACTTATTCTCTGTTTAATTTGCACGTGTTTCATGGTCCTCTGCGTAAATAAAGCAGAAAGTGGACTTGTTTTTTAATAAAACAACATAAAAATGACCCAAAACTAACAACTTATTCTTTAATTATCACCTATTTCAACTTATTTCTCCTTAACACTTTTTATATTGTCTAATCTCAGTAGTTCTACATGTTTTAGGTTTGCAACCTTTTAACTGAGTTGTTTTTTTTTTTTTTTTTGGAGGTTCATCTGACATGATGAACTTTGAAAGATATTTAGAAGGCGCGAGCGCGCACTTTTTGAGAGCTCTGCAATAATTGATTAGTGTTTAGGTGCTCATGCTCCCTCAGCTGAAGCGGGAGAGGGACTGTGGGGGTGGGAGGTGGGAGCGCTCCTATTTCAGCCCCTGACGCACTGCCTCTGGGGAGGAAACGGAGCTGCAAACTCAGTCCTGCTCTGCTGTACAGGGTGCAGGGCAGAGGGAGAGCCAATCACCGAGACGCACAGGTCTCCCTTTAAGTCTGACATATCTCCAACAGGAACAAATTGTCCCAACAATCAACATCCCCAATCTGCTGCGCGCATCGGGAGGTTGGAGAGGAGTGGATACAGAGCGCAGGCCTGACGGACAGGAAGCTTTGAAAACCATTTGAGGACAATAACCCGCTCTGGACAGCGACATTTCTGGGCTCTGGACACCATGTCAATCCTTCCGTCCTTCGGGTTTACGCAGGAGCAAGTGGCGTGCGTCTGCGAGGTGCTGCAGCAAGGAGGAAACCTGGAGAGGCTCGGCCGCTTCCTGTGGTCCCTGCCCGCCTGCGACCACCTCCACAAGAACGAAAGCGTCCTGAAAGCCAAGGCGGTGGTCGCCTTCCACCGGGGGAACTTCAGGGAGCTGTACAAGATCCTGGAGAGCCACCAGTTCTCGCCGCACAACCACCCCAAGCTGCAGCAGCTGTGGCTCAAGGCGCACTACGTGGAGGCGGAGAAGCTGCGCGGCCGGCCGCTCGGCGCAGTCGGGAAGTACCGGGTGAGGAGGAAATTCCCGCTGCCCCGAACCATCTGGGACGGCGAGGAGACCAGTTACTGCTTCAAGGAGAAGTCCAGGGGCGTGCTGCGGGAGTGGTACACGCACAACCCCTACCCGTCCCCGCGGGAGAAGAGGGAGCTGGCTGAGGCCACGGGGCTGACCACCACGCAGGTCAGCAACTGGTTCAAGAACAGGAGGCAGAGGGACAGAGCCGCCGAGGCCAAAGAGAGGTAAACATGAGCTGCCAGCTCTTATTGACTTTAGAGAAAACAAATGAGACCGAGAGAGAGAGAGAGGAAAAGAAATGAGATGAATAAAGCCTCTCTGACATGATCCATTTTATTCATATTATTTGTGTTGAGGTACTTTGCTGTCAAATATTGTGACGTGTCAAAATGGAGATGATGCTGAAGACTGCTTGCAGGGATTATTATTATTATTATTATTATTATTATTATTATTATTATTAGAATAGTGTGCAAAAGTTTAACTTGTTAAATTAAGACACAGAATAAAACTTAAGAGCAGAAACTCCAAATAAGAAAATGATCAGAAACAATTCAAAAGAAGCGTTTAGTTCTTGATTCAGGCCTCAAATTGCTCTGCTTCCTCGCATTTATTTGACTAAATATTGATGCAAATCTGACTCTTTTTTTTTTTTCTTGTTGCATTTTGCAGAGAGAACAGTGAAAACAACAACGCAGGAGGCAACAAACAGAACCAGCTGTCCCCTCTGGATGGAGGGAAGTCTCTCATGTCCAGCTCGGAGGACGAGTTTTCTCCTCCTCAGAGTCCGGACCAGAACTCTGCGCTTTTGCTTCAGGGCAGCATGAGCCACCCTGGGGCCTCCTCTTACCCCATGTCCGGCCTGGGGGCCCCACAGCCGGTGCACGGCATGCACGGACACCCACACCAGCTGCAGGACTCCTTGTTGGGACCTCTAACCTCCAGTCTTGTGGATTTGGGCTCTTAAAGCAGCGGATTCTTCTGTTTTACGGAACCAGAAGAAAGAAAAAACGGAAGAGGACTGATAATGATATCAGATTGAACATGTGTATAAAATAACACTATTGTAGCCTAACTTCTGATAATATAGACTGACTTATCTGTCGTTAAATTTTGGTTAGAAATTAATCCTCTAATGCGCTTTAATCACATCCCCTCAACAGATTTTTTTTTTCTTTCTGAAAACACACAAAACGGACCTTTATAAAACTTAACAGGACTGCCTTGCTTAATTTATGATTTATTTTTTGTTAAAGCATAAAAAAAATATAGCAGCCGTCTGCGATGGAAACTAAAAAAGTAACGTTTTCCTTAGAGTCATGATTAGTTTCCAATAAAACTAAAGTATTGCATTTGTCTCCGTGTTATTTGTATAAAAGTAGACCTTCTGTGCATTTCGGTTCCGTAGGTATATCATAATTAAAAATAATAATTTTGGAACTGATTAAATAGACGGAGCTTTTTTTAATAATCATAAAAAGTAAACATATCCACGTTGGTGGGATTTAAATTTTGCATGAGAGATTAAACTCTGCGGGTTCTTGTAAAAACATTTTTTTTTCTATAACAAACAAAAGAGCCATAAAGGGGAACTCCGATTCATCCCATCGAGAGTCAACATCAGCAGCTGTCTGTCAGGATGAACACCGGAAGTAGCTCCATCCTCCATCCATCGCGGATCTTTGACTAATCTTTTTTTTTTATTTATTTTTTATTTTTTTATTTTAAATATATTTCCGCCATTTTTAGCTGGACTGGATCACTGGCTTTTTGTTTTCTTTCCTCTGTTTGTTCTGGGCCATGGGAAAGAGCCGCAACCTTTGGATATTTTATGGAATGAAATATAAAAAAAACATCCCACAAGGAAAACAAGACATGCTTCTAATAATTCAAGTCAAACAATAGGTGTAGTTAACTTTATAGTCTGACAACAACAACAATGGTGGTGATGTTGGGAGCAGGATTTTGGTGCAGGCTGCCCCTCCTTTCAGCTCATGTCAGAGTAAATTGTTTTGAGCAGAGAGCACCGAGGATTTCCTGACAATAATCTGAACCATTCGCTGCAGCCTCACCGCCTGATTGCGAAGATTGCAGGCGCTACAGCTTCAGAAGGACCCTGAGGTGTTCTGCATCTTATAGAAGGTTAAATCCACCTCCTGTTCCAGTTTTGTTGCTGACCCAGCCGTCATTTTAAAAACACCCCCAGCTTTTTTATCACTTTTATCTCATGGATGTGTCTCCTCTGGAGATCAGCAAAGTTTCTTTTATTGTTATATTTAATGAATCAGTTGTGAAAAAAAATCAGGGATGGCAGAAGAATTTTGCTCAAGTCAATAAAAAAAAAAGCTATTGTGTTAAAGTTATTTTAACACTGGACATGACTTTGGTGTTACATCCTGAATCCACTTCAGTCACTTAATGTTGACTCATCAATCTGTGGCCGAACACAGTTGACAACATACAAAATGTAGAATTAGATGATATCAAAACATGCGAAAATTAAAGTGCGAGGACAACTCTCGGCTTGCAGGAGAAAAGTTAAATGAGGAAACATGTTTCCAAGTCTTTAAGTCTAAATTAGACTATGAAGAGGGGTTTTATTTTAAGCTGGTTTGATATAATTTAAGCTTTGTTGTAACTGCAGAAAGATTTGACAGAATTTCAAAAAAAAAAAATCAAAATGGTCAAGATTCATTATTTAACAATGTGCATCTTTAAAGCATGTTTTCTGTATTTATTGCATCTTTAAAATAAAAAAAAAAACATGCCTGCAAGGCAAAGATAAAACAACCAATTAATTTGCATGTAATAGACTTTTACCACGGCTCGTGCTTCATGATTGTGAGTTTAAATCAGCATTCAGCAGAGAACAAAGGTCATACGATTCTGAGAACAGCTTGCGTCCTTCGCTTCTGGCACGCTGCGTGGCTGAATATTCACAAATTAACAAATATGTGATCACAAAGCCACCGAAGAGACTCCTCATACCTGTTAATCTAATAACACTGCCAGCAGAGTGCAGACAGTGCAGGAATTAAACCCACTCTGCCCCACATGACAGCCAGAAGCTGCCACAATCTCCTCCAGGATGTGCAGGACTCCACAATCAGCCCCTCACGGAAACTCCTCCAGTACTTTTTTAATCAAGCTTAAATCCTTTGCTTCCAGCTGGAACAAAGTCCATTTATCTCTGTGCTGTTTTCGTCTCGTCAGATGTGCAGCAAGTGCAAGTGGAAAGCCTGCTCGGGCCTAAACGGGAGACAAAAGATGGAGGTAACGTCAGCCTGGAAGCAGGTCGCTGCCAGTAACAACAGCTGCTGATGGCAAACAGAGCACGAGTCATCAAAAGGGTATTTCATTTGTCAGAGGCGTAAGTGGCAGTGGCTCTAAATCAACAGCAGGAAGGGCCCTGGCGTGTTCAAATAAACATGAAGAGTATAGCCCGCATGAGCCGGGTCAGTATCTGGCTTCAGAGGACAAAAACGAGACGTAATTTCTGGGGGAGTTTGGGGTTAAATGTAAGCTGCTCTGGTACCTGCAGGTATAATGCACATGTGTGTGAGACTGTTGCAGGTATCCATAACCATGGGCTGCATGAGGGGTGTGTGTCAGAGGAGGGAGGGGGGGGAGGGGGTGAGGGACAAAAGGATCTTTTCAGGTCTGCCTCAGAGGGGTGGAGGTGGTGGTGTGGGGAGGTTGGAGAGATTTTCTTACCAGTGATGCATGGATCTGACAATGATCCTGCCTGGACAAACCCGGAGGTGTGTGTGTGTGTGTGTGCATGCACGCAGGAAGGTTTCTTAAGAAAATAAAAGTAAATCCCCCACTTAAACCAAATGTTTTCTTCTCTACATCACGAAAACAAAAGATCTGGCACCACTCTGCCTCAAAGGATGGTGCACTGACACGGGGGCTGCAAAAACCAAAGCCCCTCCGCTCCCAGGAGCAGGAAGTCGTTCAGGAAGCTTCTATGTGACAGAGCTGAAAGAAATATTTATCTCTTTCCCTCAGTCCTCTGAGTGATGCATGAGCCAGGCACGAGGAGGAGAACTGAGGACAAACCCTGAATATTAGCGGCGTTAAAGAGCATGTTGTACGCCACATGAAGGCTGGCATCATGAATGTTAGTTGATGAAGGGAGGGGGGGGGGGTGCTGTAATGCACTGAACAGAAGACAAGATAAGACGTGCTTAAACTGTCAATAAAGGCAAAATATGTCCGGGAGGCAGAGGCTCACATGACAATCCCTGGCTGAGACAAAGCCCAGCTCTTGTTTCTCAGAATATTTTTGGAGCTTGCAGAGAAAGATGATAGTTGGTATCATTAGTCTTGTGTTTGGTCGAAAGAGTGACTTCGACTTGAGATGGCTTTTAAAGAAAAAAAAAATAGAAAAACTTTTTGTGAGGCCTAGATGTCACTTTCAGACATGATGAATGAGTAGCAGGAAGTAGTGGTTTTTACAAAAATAAAGATAAATCATTTTTAGCTGAAGGAGATTATTATATTTAAAGATAAATGTTCAGGAAAAATTCAAACTGAACGCGTAAATGAAGCCGTCAGCCAATCACAAGCACTTTTAATAATCTGTCTCTGGCAGACAAAGTGATGACTCTGAAAAACATTCTTGTTAGTGACAGAAATTCCTTTATTGTTTTGGATTTACTGACGATACCAAGAAAAATACAGAGTAGGACCTTCACTTTACAACAAATTTTTTTTGTTGGTATTTAATAGGAGCCAGAGAGCAAAAATGAAAACCTGAATGTTTGTGTAAAAGTCAATATATAAGTATTATAAGTATATATAAGTTGTATTTTAGTCTAATTTTATCCAAATGTAAAGACGTTTTTAAACGCGCAACAGACATTTTAAAAGGTTTGATGGTAAAGTTTGTTCACAAAAATACTTTTTATTTGATATCAATATCGATTCACAACTAAAAGCCCTGTTAGAGGGAAAGAAATGTCTTGAATCAACAGAACAGATGTGAAATAAACACAAACTAAATGAGCCACGAGTGAGAAGTTCTGTTTTTATTTGAGCGGGTCCAGTAAATGAGCTCCACTGGTTTCTGCTGCATTTTATTCAGCGTGCTCTTCATGAGAGTCGTTCTCAAACACAGCGTTCATTCAGAGTTTTAGACGTTTGGTCAAACTGCTTCAGAATAACCATCATCCTAACCATATTGACAAAAGTATATATTTTCAGATTATTCTTATTGATCTGTTAAATGAGAATCCTTGTCTTATTCAACCATTTCAACCTTTGTGATGGTTTTACCTTTAAAAGAACGTCAGAGGGTTCACAGAAGATTTAGTCTTTAAGATTCTGTCACTTGGTTCTAATGATTCAAAATGTTGCTTTTTTTATTATTACAATAACAAATTAATTTTTAAGGCGTACCTTTTCCATATTTACTGCACCACTGCTGGTTCCAATATTACATCCAGGTTTCTACCACAGTGACAGATGTTTTTTTTTTTTCTGAATGGAGCATTGTGTCCAATGTCTGTGGGCGTCTTTGGAGTAAATTGTCCAGAAAAAAATAAAAAAATCCTTTACAGAATAAATAACAAGCAAAAACTGTCATTAAATGTTTATTCAACTTGCATTTATTTAGGTTTTCAGTAACCTATTTTTATCTGTTTAAAAAGTTGATAAAAGTCTTTTGTTTGATAGCTCAAAGTTTTCCTCTTTTAATTTCAGTTTTATGATCCAAAACATGGAAACTGTTCAGCCACGAGCTTCTCTTTCAAAAAGAATGGGAGGGACTGACTAGATTATACTTTTATTTATTCAGTTATGTTACTAAATTGATGGAATGCTTTGATTTTTAAAATTTTTTTTTTAATTTAAGTTTATTATTCCCAAACTAAAGTGACTTTTTGTAAAAAAAAAAATTAAAAGATGGCAATTAAAGCATACATCATAATAGAAACACTGAGCATCATTTTTCATAAAAGTGCTGATATTTTCACACTTGTGCAGTTTAACAGTTTGACAGCTGCACACATTTTTCCACATTTTTGCAGAAAATGCTGAGGGTCTCTTGTGGTTGAACTCACATTTATGTTATTCAGACAAATACAGAAATAATTATTTAAAAATGTACTTTGTATGTACTTTCAGCAGAACATTGTAGGTGCATGTTCTATGTTTAACATGACCAAACAGAGCTTTAAAGCGTCACAATACTGCATTTAATTAGGATTTGATCATTGTTGTGGATGGAGTTTACCAGAATTATACATTACATAACAACTTAGATATTAAGTAATAAAGTGCACGCATGTAAAAAAAATTAAAGCTTTAAAGTTCAGCACATTTTAGAGCTCAAAGTAATTGACAATAG